GTGTTATCAAATTGCACTTCAAAATGATCATCCATACTCATTTTCCCCAATAGACTGTGGTGTTATAACAACCGTTAAGAAAATGAAAAATGAAATTTCGATTTCCAATCATAAATATCTTGATAATCAGAGAGGTGATCGGCTAGTAAAAGTCATGGGATTCCTGACTGACCTAAAGGTTTATGATTACCGGTATGATTGCAGCATGAGCTAAATTCAGGATTTTGTTTCAGAATCTGAGGCAATGTTACTGAGTCACTTTAAAGACACAAAGGAGTGGGCTCTTATGGGAAATTTGACACCATTCAGGTGTTGACCCAATATCAGGATTAGCCTTTAGTTTGATGACCAACAGGCCTTATGTAATGATTTGCATTCCTCCATAATATCAATATGGTTAAATCATTATCTCACTCTTGCCTGGCCCAAAGACTCTCCTAGAGACTAGGGGGTATTTCTTGATAGGCCTACAGGTTCGCTGTGTGCAGACTTGTAAACACATTAATGATATTCCCAGGTTCTTCTAGTTTAAGTCTCAAGAGAAATTCTGTTCAAGGGAAACATAAAAATGTGGTCTATTTAGACAGATGGTCTATCTATACAGGTGGTTGCTAAAGCAGGTTTGACTGTATCACCAACTAATGCAAGACGTAAGCCTACCTGATTAGGATTTACATTCGATTTCACATCGATTTGCAAATGAGAGCATTGCGATACTTCGTTATTTGTATTTTTTAAAAATGACATAATTGCAGCTCTATGAGTTGAATAAAAGGGATAATGATTTCGAACATAAATTAATTAAAGGAAAGCTCAAATAACACTTTGCATGTGATAAACAAACCGGTATATTATTCAAGTTCGAAACTTACAAGTTCAATTTTTTATATATTATCAATGATGATTGATGATTGTTTTACCCGACTGCTAAGAAATCATGTACATGCTGGGTAAACAACCTGGGAACCGACAGCTTCAAGTCCTCTCTGAGGAAATTGGTAATGAGGATTAGTGCCTTACAAGAGGGCACGGGCGATTTGACTTGGTTTTGAACCTTGGACCTCCCGGTTACGAGACCAACGCTCTACCACTGGGCCATTGCGCCTCCTATATGAAAACGGCTGAACATATTCAAGCATAATTGGAACTGACATTCCAGTCCAAAATGTTGTTTGTACAGCTGACTGGTTCGCGGAAATGCTGTAGTTCCATATGCCAGACTCTCTCACAGGAATGGCTGATCGTATTCATGTATCCTTAGAACTGGCATTCCTACCGCGTTTTTAATTTGTAAACCTTGGTAGATTCCAAAATTGTCCTAAATTGACATGTTAGTGTCTCCTACCAATATGGATGAACATATTTGAAGCAGTATAGGAACTGGTATTCCTCTCCAAAGTTTTCAGTATGCAAATCTCGGTAGATTCCAAAGTTGTCCCAAATTGACATGCTAGTGTCTCCTACCGATATGGATGAACATATTTGAAGCAGTATAGGAACTGGTACCCTACCCAGAGGTTTCAGTATGCAAATCTTGGTAGATTCCAAACTAATTGTCCCACTTTGATATGCTGGTGTCTCCTACCGGTATGGATGAGCATACACACGCATCCTTAGAATTGGCATTTCTGGTCCACAGCGTTTACTTTGTAAGTTTGAGTGGTTCTAGCAACGTTCTTCTAGGTGTATCACGACCTGTGATGACTGACAGCAAATAAAGAATAAGATGCAAGCGATGAAGTAATTTAATTTCAAGAGAGAAAAAATATCATAATTATTAACGATAAGGAAAAAAATATACTTGTGTTAGTGGCTTGTCTAGATGCTGAACAGGCTTTGACAAGAAGCAGAATAGAAGGAGAACATAACACTTATGAACATTATAGAAAGTTTGGAGTTCCAATATTATTACCCAGGTTTAAATAGCTCAGCTGTTAAGGTATAGCACACAAGCATTTGCATGAATTTCGTCACACACATTAAAAATTATGAAAATGATGTTTTATCCTTTTCATCATTTTCAATGTGTAATTCTAGAATATAAGAATATTTCTATCTCTTCTATCTTTTATTTTGATGGTTCTTCTATAATTATAAACACAACAATATAGTTTCTCATGTATAGATTACCAATTTTTGGCTCATGTATTCTTGTAAATTGGATGAATAAAAAAAAATGAACTGATTTGAATTGTATATGTGTGATAGATGACAAACACTCATGGGAGAACCCAATGAACCTTACCTTTGATGAAGGCTGGGCTGCTGGATGAGGGTTGGACTTGGACCCCTGTGGAAGGGGTTGAGCAGGCCTGACTGTAACAGGTACAGGCGGTCTCTGTCTCTCCTTCTCCTTCAACTCGTCACTCTGCGTGTGGTACCTCATCACCATGGCCCACGATTCCTGGTAGAACTGCGTCAAGAGTGACGGGTGCAGGGATGTCACAACGGTGGAGAGGAACGTCCCGTATCCCTTGGCCATGCTGTCGTTCTGGCCGGGCAGGATCGCTGCAGAGATGCCGGCGAGAAGCTGGTCCGCCTGTGCATCAGGCTGGGATACCTGCTTCACTGGATTGGGGTCAGGTAGTGGGGAAGGCTGGATGGACTCTATCTGCAAAGGAGCTTTGCTTGTTGCCAAAGATACAGTAGGTGCGGTTGCAGAAGGTGAGGGCGCTGCAGTGCTTATTGGAATGGTTGGAATCTTGTAAAGGTCATCATCATTGTCATCATCCTCTGAACCAGAATGTTGTTGCGAATTGGACCACTGGCCACCCGATTTTGACTGTAGTTTATGCTTAATAGGCTGCAAATGAAGACAAATATAGGATAACTTGAGAAATGTAACAGCTAAATGCAATAAGCAATGGTGTGAGATAGAACTAGAGAAAAAGATAATACTTTCCTTTATCCTGTGTGTGAAGTATACACATACCACCTGGAAATATCTACTCAACAATTTGTCTTCCTTACAAACCATATAGTACCTGTACAGTTATCATTGTGACAGAAATGTACGTTCAGATTAATCCCTTTTCCTTTCTTTACAACCTTAATGATACATATAGCAATTTGATAAAATTTGATGAATTATATTCTATAAACCAACTATAGAGATCTTGTATGTTTGTACAGTGCATGTATAGAAGTAGAGAAAAATATATGTCAATACTTACAAAGCCAGTCGTCGGATGAGTCCCTCTGTTAGGGCAAGCATAGATGTGTGGAGAGATAAAGGCAAATTTCTTTAGAATCCATTGGTCCCTCCAGGTGAATTCCCTTTTCCTGCCCACTGACGTGATCCTCCTCAGTTTGCCAAACCTTGTCCTCATCGACTTGTACCACACTTGGAGCACCTCTCCCGATTCCACACCAAGCTTGTCTGCCTTCTGCTCCCAAAGGTTACTCTTCAAATCAATGTCTTTGTACCTCCGGTGGCTCTTGTCGAACAGTTCCGGAGATGACTGCAGCCACTCCACCAGGCCCTCTTCCTGCTCGTCGGTCAGAACTAGACGGGCAGTTTTTCGTTTCTTCCTCATAGCGAAAGAGTCTGTTTCTGTTCTTTTCCCAGGAGATTGAGGCATATCCCCCAGTACCTCTTCATCGTCCAGGCTGTGACCTTGATTGTGATTATGACCTTCACTCCTTTGATTGCCAAGTTTACCTCTAGGAGGTTTACCTCTAGGAGGTGTAGCACGAGTCGAGGTACGAAGCGTCTCACCCCTCGACGTCCTCTTCAGAGCTCTAGCTGCTCGGCCTCCCTGGGTTCCTCCTTTTGGCGTGGTCCCTGAAGAAGAAGAGCAGGCAAGGAAACGTAAGACATACCCTCGTGAGTTCCCAAGTGCAATGCGTCACAGTTTGTTTACATACAACTTGATGGAATTAGCAACTGATGAGTGAACAAAGCTTTTCACGCCGTTCGGATGAGATTTCTGAGGAATTTTTTCAGATGGCGCGGTTCTTCTGAAGTTTGTGGAGGGCGTGCGCGTGATGTAAGACCTGTTGGTCGTGAAGGTGAAGTCCACTCTCTGTAATTGATATCACCCATAATCCGGTAAACACCGCATTGGTGTCAAAGTCTCCATGAGAACCAACGACGATGATGCTTAAGTGCCCCAGCCCCAATGAAGAATTTTTTTTAGCGATGGAACCAAATAGAAGCAGTGCAAACTTAGAAGGCTTTAATAACCTCAAGGATGATTTTGTTTCAAAGCCACCAGGACTGCCTGATTTCATAGAGTAACGGATCAACCGGACATTGTCCATCGATCAAATTGATTAACAACCGATGTAGAATACACTTCACACAGAATGACTGAAGCCGATATTGACATAACCTAGAGCACAGCAGAGCGATGTGATAGTCAAAGAAACGTAAACTATGTAAATACATGTGACTTGATTAATGAGTAGCAATCTGTCCATAGAGCAGAAAAGGTAAAACGAATCGCGAGGAGGAAGGACTGCGCTTGAATACACAATGACAATAGGCTGTGAGATTAAATCATTCTACGGCAATAATAAGTTCAAACATTTTAAAGCTGCTACGGCACCTCAATGCATCAATACAGTGTATGGACAGTTTTAAAGTTTGAAAACAAAACAAAACAAACACAACAGCATATAAACAGATTTTTATCTGCGATTGCCAGATCTTTGTGGTCCACAAAAACAAAACCACAAGAGGACTGGCGCTTCAGTAAAATGCTTTCAATTCAAAAGTTACCCATGTTTATTTTTCTTCAATATAAAAACCAACTCATGCACACTTCCAGTTTCAAGTGTACTAATACAGTTAAACCTGTCTATAGCAACCGCCCAAGGGATACACAAAAAGTGGTCTTTGTAGACAGGTTACCTTAGTACATGTTTCAATGAGAAGCCATTTTTAAGGGAAACAAAAAATGTGGTCTTTGTAGACAGGTGGTCACTAAAGCAGGTTTGACTGTATATATATAGATAAATCTCTAATAATGTGTCTGATATTGAAGGTATTTGCTTACTTCTCTTTGAGCTATAACTCCCTGCATCTCCTCCATCCGACGACTCAGGTGACCCCAGGACATCGGAGCTCATGTGACACAGGGGATCACAGAGGTTACCAGTCTCGTCCTCACACCACTCTTCTCCGAGATCTTCCACGGTCGCTGATTCATTGTCGAGCTCTTCCATCTCGATGTTTTCTGTGCCTGTAAAGGGTCAAGATGAGTAAAAGTTGTGCAATAGTATTGTGAAAGGGTCTGAAAGTCACTGTTGTAAGTCAATGTTTCATCTAGAGATAGATTCTTTCTCTCCCCTTTCTCCTGTACTTATTTAATGCACTTCCCCTCTCAGTTCACCTTATCAACTCTCCTCTCTTTTTTCTTTATGTTAACGCTCCAACCTTAATTGTGTTCTTTGAAGAAAAAGAAAATAGTATCTATTCTTACATGGGCTACCTTGCCCATAGGCCTCTAGGCCCTTTTAGGTATGCCTCACAAACAATTTTTTAATATTTTTTATCAATATTATCCACCCATCAATATCTACATATGTTTTAATTTATTGTTGTATGCAAGTTTGTTCTTCTTACATCATCAGATTAATATCTATGTTATATTGATGAGTTTTTAAAATTATATGTTAGTGAAATAAAGATGTACTGAAATGAAATAAAATGAAAGAATTCATAATGTACCAAACATTGGGTTGTTCTAAGCAGGCCAAAAAGAAGGAAAAAAAATAAGAAGTAGAAGAAGGAGAAGAAGGAAAAGGAGAAGGAGAAGAAGGAGGAGAAGAAGGAGGGGATGGAGAAGGAAGAGGAGGAGAAGTAGAATAAACAAACCCAAAGAATATTGCCAATGATTTACAAATCTGTTTATGTGCATATCATCAGAAAGGTCTCTAAACACTTAACACTGCAACTTTACTCTGACTACGAATCACTCTTGTCCTCTGTTTGTTGGCCTCGCAGATACATTTTCTTTAATTGGAAGTTGGCTTATTCCCTCAAGAAATGCAGATGAGAATCTCAAATCTGGGAAAAAAGAATATTAGGAATACAAGGATCTGCAGACAAACTGCACTTCTACCCCCCTCCCCTGTCCAACCTCGAGCTCCTGTTAGTAAACATCACTGTCATGTGACATGTCAGGTGATGAATTGATCACTCACCTTGGGAATCAGGTGACCTGGAGGACCTTTCCTCTCCTTCCTTGAAACCCATCTCATACCCTTCTTGATTGGAACCGTACTCTGATGGAATCAAGAGAGAGAGAGAGAGAGAGAGAGAGAGAGGGAGATAGAGAGAGGGAGATAGAGAGAGAAAGTGAGAAAGAAAGAGAGCGGGACAGAGAGAGAGAGAGAGAGAGAGAGAGAGCAAGAAAGAAAGAAGAGTGAAAGAAAGATAGAGAGAGAGTTGTAAATTATTTAAATTAATTATCATTCATATATTTATCTCCAGGAGAAATAAGAGTTCTTGTAAAGGTGAAAATAAATTGTTAGCTCTCTAATTTTTTAGACCATGTATAAAGTGGAAGAATATTGTAGTAGAGGAGTTATAGTCAAGTGGTTCAATCACTTGACTGGGTATGCAAAGGTCATGGGTTCAAACGCAGGCACGGCATTCATGGTCTTCAGCAAGGTATTTTTATCTACATTGCTCCTCTCCACCCATGTGTTGAATGGGTACTTGGTAGGACGAGAAGGTCAATGTGATTGCATAAGCATGCATGTGGCTGTGCCCGTAAGAAGGCGACAAGCTGGAATGCTGGACAGGAAGTGGATAGTGTGAAATTTAATGTGCAGAATAGTAAATGAATCCACGGACTAGGGTAATTATTATAAAGTAAGTATTTGGTCTGTAAAGCGCTTTAGAAGGAGTGTTGTGGCCGAGTTGTTTAAGGCGTCTGACTGGAGATGCGAAGATCGAGGGTTCAAATCCCGACACGGCACTAATATCCTTTGACAAGATATTAACCTGCACTTGCTACTCTCCACCCGGTAGGATGCGACCGTCGTTGTTGGTCATACAGTTTTTGAGCGTCAAGTAACGCCTGGCTGGAATGCTCCCCAGGGAGTGGAGATCGTGCACACAGTGTGTGTTGGCAAGTATTGAATCCAATGCCCGGGTTAAAGTAAATCTGTAGAGCGCTTAGAGACATCATAGATGTATTAAGCGCTATATAAAAGCGGAATATTATTATTATTTATAAGAGACAGTTATAAATATTTGTAGTGACACATGAATAGTATTGAACTTGTAGACGTTTCGCACCATTTCCATGTAGCATCAGAAATAGTCTAGAAACATTTCAAGAACAATAAAAGCATCTTCAATTTTTACACAAAGCTGGTGTTGTAGATATGTACATGTAGTTAATTGATATATTAAACTTTCAATGTACATGTACATGCTTATTTCCATAGGTCAAACATCTATCATAGTGCCATGAGTGCCATTTCTGTATTACAGTGCACTTTAAATATATATATTAAACGGGCTGATCTTGAAATGCCCTCAGGCCTAAACATATTCTACATAAAGTAATGAATTAAAACTTTGAACCAAATTCTCATGCCTTATGAGTGTGTAGTCCATTTACCCCTAAGTTGTATGTGTGCATTTTGTGATTCTAAACAGGATTAAGTAAACTTGTTATCATTTTATTAATTCTACGAGACACATACATGTACATGTACACACTCAAAGAATACATTATACAATTATTTTTTCATGAAGATTATTTTTAATCATGTAAATATTGAATACTGACCGATAAATGATTCATCCATTAAAATTCGCATATTGACCAATAAATTGACCATAAATCAATTTACTAGATAGTGTACGAAGATAAAAATCTACAGTTCTACACTTAGAATTTCTTATAAATGCAACAGGGGAAATGAATTGAATGAATTGGGGTTTGAAAAGAACTTTGAATAAACTGGTATTCGACCAAATGGCAATTTATCCATTGTATGATTGTAGTCTACTCTGTACTTACCGCTTTGCCACGAAGGCTCCTGCTTAATTTCAAGAACAATTTCTTGGTCTTGCAAAGCCATCTTTCTCTAACAGTAACAGCAGTGACACCGGCCTTGCCTGGAAAGGTGATGCATAGTACAGTGTGCTCAGGTTTTGACAGCCAACTACATATAAAGAAAGAAGGCGAGAACATACATTATATAAAATACAAATAGTTCGGGTATATTTTCTGGATTTTGTTGTTGTTGAAACATTAACTTTCATGATTTCAATAAGAAGTGAAAATAATACTAAAACAAAGGAGCCAAATTTCGGATTTTGCCGTAAGTGTCCAAAAAATCTCTACCCTCCTATATTTCGGGAATATTCCTGACCTAACAAAGTTAAACAACCAGAGTTTAAAAAAAATTAAAAAAAAAAAATTAAAAAAAAAAAAAAAAAACAGTCAAATTTGTGTCCAGTTCATGTTTTTATGAACTCAGAGTGTACAGCGAACAGTGAACCTATATATCTAGCTGCCTGCTTTGTGATTCTGAAGGCAATACACTACAAATGAGGTGTCATATGAAAGAGCAGGTTCTCCTCCATATGCCAAAAAGGGCGTTATCTCGGAACTCTAAAAATATCTTGATCAAAACCGCAATTTAAACATTGTTTCCATCGTGGCTCCAAAATGTTGGGCCAGCTGTAAGGAATATATCCATGCACTTATTTTTTCGCTAGCCCCAAGGGATCATAAGCCATTAAAGTTTGAAAATACCCTTCCCCTCATTTGTTGAATCAGCTAAATAGGGAGGCGTGACTCTGCTAAGCCCAAATCCATAGTGACGGCGCGTAAAATCTGCACATGCAAATGTATTTCACGTTAACTGTGCGAAGCAATTTTTGTGTGTGCTACCTGTGTCGCAAGCCTTCGTACACATAGTACTGCGTGTGTGCATTCGGACATGTGTTTGTATGCATGAATTCAGGTCGGGTGTGTGTTTGTGTATTCGGCGAATGGAACCGCATGCGGATGCACATGACATTGAAGACAATGGAGGTAGAGCTTGCCGATTGCACACATGTAGCGCTGCAGCTTAGCGACACACCTACGCTTGCATATCGCGCAATGCAGCTGTTTAGCAAAACAAAATAACTCTGCGTGTACATGTACGTCTTTTTCGTCTATTCTATAATAGGCACATTCATGGGGCACTAGAGGGCGCTTCGCTCGCGTACGACAATCTGAATGGCCTTGCTGCGGTGGGTCGGCAATAATCAGCCCAAAACTTGGATATGGGAGGTTGGAAGGATATATCTTTTTTATAATGTTATCCGGTCTTACCCTTAACCATCCTATGTTTAATCTATGTAGAAATAACATGCGAGTGTGATAAGAGAAACATCGGGCCCATTACTGAAGTAACTTTTTAAATATTAGCCTAGAAATGACCACCACACGGAAAAAACTGACATTTTTTCCCGACAAATCTTCATAAAATCTGAGTTATAAACAAGTCACATCTAGGTACACTAATACAAATACGATTTTCTGAAAATTCAGGTATGATTTATTAAGTTTCTTTCAAGTATATTTCTGCGCATTGCAGCGCCAATATTCTACACTGCTTCAAAATCACACTTGAATTTTTTTTTTGCAACGAATTTGATACGAGGTCCGCGAGTGTTCCCCGTTCCTTGCGTGTTGAAAGTTTGGTAATACATAGTTTGCATTGACTCGCGTACGAAAAAATGGTCGAAAACAAAATGTCAAATGAAGAAATAAACAAGCTTTTGTATAGTTATAAGAGTTCTACCGAGGTTTCTTTGTCGATTCAATTGATTATATAGTCTCAATTAGAATTCAGAATTATCTCACTGAAAAGTTAAGAAACCGACGATGTTCTCGATCTTAGTTATTTTCATTTTGCCAGCAGCCGATCTAGCGTTGTTTGGGCAAAAAGCTAGGCCGCTGCCTTCCCACGCGAACCCTTCCGAGTCCCGCTAAAATGGCGCTCTGCGGAGCTCCGAAGCTGCATTGGTATCGCTGCAAACTCTCAGCCGGCTAGCTCCCCACGAAGGACCATTCGCGGTATGGCGAGAGTGTGTGTGTGTGAAGTATGATTTTGGATTCGAGAACGCACGTAATGCAACCGTGCGCGTCATTTTCAGCTGTCGAATGTATACGACCAATTTTACATGTACGATTTTTAGTACAGATACTTGGTCAGTTTTCTTCTTATATCTTTGGTTTTACAACATTTAAAAATATAATTTCTTCAAATTTGCTCCTGACTCGTTTCAGAATAATTGTCTGATGTGTTTTCAAGTCAATTTTTTTAATATATTTTTTTGCATGAATTTGCTTATCTATAATTCTGACAAAAATTGTATGAATGTTGCCTAGATTTTTTTTTTTTTTTTTTTTTTTGGGGGGGGGGGGCGCGGCTGTATCTTTTCATAGAAACATCAGTGAGTCTTTCTTGAAATTTGAATTGTATTATTCTGAGTAAATGAATTTTTCAATTATCTAACCATAGTGGTAAATGCTCCAAAAGGGAAAATTGAAAAATCTTTCAAACACCCTATCTAGAGGTATTCTAAAGACTTAAAAACATCATTTTTTCCCATTTTGGATTACCTTTTTTGGTTTTGTTGTTATTTAGAATCTACTTTAGTTTTAAAAAATCGTTGCCTGATTCTTAATATACATGTACATTAATGAGCTTACCTTCTGTTCCACCCCCCCCCAAAAAAAAAAAACAATAAAGAAACCCGTCCCCATTCCCCAAACAAAAGAAAACAATTTGAGCAAAACACAACACTGTTACTAGATCTAGATCTAGATCTAGATCTAGATCTATGTTAGACCAAAAATTTCTGTCTCTTTCATTCGTTAGCCTCTTATTTGTAGGGTAGGGTCGGAGAGGAGCCGACCATACACAATTAAATAAGAGGCTAACGAACAAAAGAGACAGAAATTGTCGGTGTAGGATCTAGGATATAAAATCTTATGTTAATGTGAGACGGCCATTCACATGACGTCAAATTGTGTAGGTGGGACCGAACATTCCAAACTAGCCATGGGTCATTTTTTAGGAATTTCAATATTAGATCAGTTATAAAATAAATTATCGTTAAATTGAGGAGTCGTTATCTTCCTAACGTAACAATAAATATATCATCAAAGGTAAAGGTCGAAATTATAACATTCAAGGTTGAAAAAAATGACAATACGGTACCTTGATTCTGTGGCTAGCTGGCTCCCTGCTGGGTCACGCTATATCGAGCCTAGGTCATCAAACGGAAGTGACGTCAGATTATAACCCAATGTACTTGTACTTGGTACTTGGTACTTGGTTTGGTTATCCCTTTGTCATCTCACTCAGTAGCTATACTGTGATGGTAGGTGAGGCGAGTAACTACAAGGAGTGTCATGAATTGTTGGAATGGTGTGTGGAAAAAGCACTTGTTAATTTACAGTAAACAGGCCAGCTAGCTATTCGCCAGGCAAAAAGAACTGAACTAAAATAGAATCATATATAATCTATACATAATTATCAATTTATCATTGAAGAAGTTTATTCTCTAGGCCAGGAGCCTGTCTCTAGTTAGCCTATCCTTAAACGTTATCTAAATCAATGGCGAGAAGTAGGTTGTGAGCCTGACTGTAATTAAAGGCTAAGTCCATTCCAAAACAAAAAATGCTTTTAATAGATGCAGAAAAACAAGAGAAACAGACCACAAAATATTTGAGTTGAATCGGATAACTATAAGGAAGTTATGAATTTCTTTTAAAGTATGACAAAATATTGCCAATTTGGTTATCAGCTTATGGCGTCATTGCCTCACTATTTGTCAATTGCTTAATATATTTTTATCCCATTAATTTCCCTTTTTATCCCCCAAAACTTGATTTCCCCAATGCCTTTGCCCAGGTTATATGATTTGTATCACGATTGCGTGCATGACATTTCATAAAATCTTTTATGACATTTTTAAGAATTGATACTATTTTCAATATATTGTTTATTCATAATCGCTGATTTTTATATTATATATAGTTTATCAAATTTTACATTTTTCATGATTTAACAGAACAAAAAAGTACCCAAACAAAAACATATTACTATCAATACAACTTGGATGCTGGTGTGAGGAAATAAGATTGTTAGGGGTGAAATTGGAAATTTATATTATTAATATGAAGAAAACAATAATTAGCTCAAGTTAAAGTTTATTTGTCTTTCTTCCAACATGAATGTAATACAATTAAACAATTTGATAACATGTAGAGTATATAAAAAGGAAAACTTATAAGGAACAAGTTCATATAGGCTAATGCATTCAGGTTTCCTCAGAAATTAAGAATTTCTTTGGTAATAATGTATTATGTGCAAAGTGTATTTGTATAATTACAAGAAAAAATGAATTATGTATGAAAAAATGTAAAATCTTTGTTCACCTTTCTGTTGGAAATGAAATAAATATGAATTGAAATTGAATTGAAGTGAATAAAAAAGAAAGAAAGACGAGGAGACCTTAAGAAAGCTTAGCTCGTAGAGGTCAGGTCCCTCAAAACAATATCATATGGCGGGGGCGGCGATCCGGGGGGGGGGGGGGCACGTCCCCCCTCAATTTTGTTTAGATCGCCCCCCGGAAAAGTGCCAAAAAGTGTATAGCAAATACTGACTAAACACATTAACAAACCCTTAGGCTCTGGAGGGCCCAAGAGTGCAACGTTTAGACAAATAGAAATGCAAAAATCTTCTCCCTCGCATAATATCCTTTAAAGTGTTCACGTAAATATTGTAGAAAAGTGAAGTGTGAAAAAAGCATATTGCTTGTTTTTATACTATAGTTTTGCTAAGGAACGTCATTTTTTAATTCAACAAAACTTTACAAACCTGTGAGGGGGTAGTCACTTCCGTCACCTTCACCCCTCTCGTTCACTATGCTCCCTCGCACAAGCGTATAGTGGGAGGGGGTGGGTGGGGGGGGGGGGGGGCTTGGAGGGCAGTTGCCCCTATTAACATTCAAACGTGAATTGTTTTTAATTCGATACCAGTGATTTACAAATGTTGCTGAAATGGCATGGTCTTTCCCTGAGCTTCCGAGGGCTCTGCCCCTGGACCTTACCAAAGGCCCTAAGGCAGACCCCTGGTTGCTCATCTGATTTTTATTAAATGCCTAAGAAAACCCTGAGCTTCCGGGGCGCCGCCCCCTGGACCCCACCTGGGCCCTAAGGCACCTCCTAGATGCACATCTGATCGTAATTCACTGCCTAAAACCCCTTAGATTCTAGGGGCTGCGCCCCCTTTACCCCACTCCAATTAGTGACATGAATGCCAGTGTCACAAATAAGGTATAAAAACATGCTCATCCGACCGTAATTAAATGCCTAAAACCCCTGAGTTTCCAGGGAATCCACCCCCTGGATGCTCATCTAACCGTTATTAAATGCCTAAAACCCCCGATCTTCATTAGGCTACGCTCCTTAACACCGCCGGGGCTTTGCCCCTGGACCCCACGCCAATTTACGCTCCACTTGCTTACTTTAGCACCCCCACTTTGAAAAACGTTCCGCGGGGCCTGCATGTAACATGTAAGAGTGGGGGGTGGTGCGGAATTTTTGTTCTGCCCCCCTCCCCCAAATAAAAACGTTTTGCTCATTACGCCACTACTCCCTCATCCCTCGCGTTTCGTCGTCCCCCCCCCCCCTCGGTCATGAAAAGAAATCGCCGCCCCTGTCATATAGACAAAAACACCCCGCCTGATTATACATAGTGTATAACAGATTAATACAAGAAATGTTCGTCAACTTGAAGGCGCTTAAAGCAAATAAATGTCCCTTTGGTACCTACGGCAAGCATATGTTCATGAATTTGTTTGAAATAAAAATATTGGAAGCATATGCGATTTTACAATATTCAATGATCGTTGTTGTGGTTGAAATCTAGTTTAAAGTAATGAAATTGTAAATAATAAACTCTTTATGTTGTATAGCGCCCTCTCAAGACTGATATTACTTTAGCTTTGAAACAATATTTCTTGACTACAATCGACCGATTTGCTTCTACCGTTTGGAAACTATATATCAGAATTGCATATTCTGAGATTTTCATGGTCGCAGCTACTATGTAATGGCCTTAGGCGCTATTTGAAATATTTGAAATTTACCGGGAACTTTAAAAAATTACTATCCATCCAATTTTCAAATTTTTTCCAAAACTTTGTAATAACTATAACCCTATGATTATAAATATGGTTTAACTGAGTAATAAAAAAAGGATGGGGAGAAGAGACTGTACAAGAGGGGGCGATACAACGATAATAACATGGGATATAGAAATGGAGAGAGGGGGCGGGATAGGGAGAGAGTTAGAGAGAGGGGGGGGGGGGGGGGGACATACTTTCACTGTAAGCTGAAAGCTAATACATGAGAGAAAAGGAAAGAATAAGGAAAAGGTAAGTCGGCAGTTGCTATACAGTAGTAAATTGAGGAATGGATTAAGTTCAAATATAAATCACAGCAGCATCACAATTTGGAGCATAGATTAAGAATCAACTAAGTAATTATTCAACAAGTATAACTTCAGTTTACCTTTGAAGACAGATAAACTGACAGAATAGTGGATAGTAAGGCAATGACGTCACAAACTCATAAGTGAATCGCCAATTTGTTTTGTGATTTTCAAAGATTTTCATGTCAATAAGAATTCATAACTTTCTTATTAGTTATCCGATTTCGCTCAAACTTTTTTTCTCGATTGGTTTGTCTGATTTTTCTGCTTCTATTTTAAGAAAGTTATGTGTGGGATGGACTCGCCCTTTAAAGGGACTTGGTAACATTGTTCAGATGAGTGAATTCAATGCTAGATGTACAATTAAAGATAATCTGAAAGTTTGAGTGACAGACCATTATTAATAAATAAATTTGAATTTTGTTGTTGAAAATAGATGATAAAAATTGGGAAAAACTGATCTGATCGTTTCCTTAATTCTCCCATTTATATTACTACAATTTAATTACATTTTCGGTGAATGTAAATTGTCCTAAAGAAAAGAATTGGCTCTATTTACCATTCCAGACATTTAAGTGTTGTAAGATTTATATCAAAAAAACATTTTTCATGTCTTATTTTCATGGAAAAACGATTTGGAAAATTCAAAAATCACATTTAGGGTAATTAAGGACCGCTATTCATAATGCAACATGGGGGTTGCGATTCATAATCACGAAGAAGGGGCGCTATTCATAATGACCCTTATGAATAATGACTCTTTTCTGAATTTATGAATAGCGGTCCTTACGAATAGTGGGCAACCCCCGGGCTATCACGCTATCAAGCAATCACCTAATAGCCCGTCCTCTTCTGCGTATTTCTTTATGAATAATTTTAGGTTCTGTGTTATCAGTTTACATTTTGTTTTGATGCCATCATTTATTATTTTGTGTTTCTGAAATGCAATTTGATTTGTTGGAGAAGAACATAAATTCAATTCAATTCATTTCAAATATGCATAAATTAGGTACATCACGATAAAGGCCTATATTTTGTAGACCGCCACTGATCAAAGGCGCTAATGAGACTGAAAAACAACTTAATGTGCCATTCAAGATTCGCTTTATCTCTCTCTCTCTCACTCTCTCTCACCCCTCTCTCTCCCTCCCTCTCTTTGTGTGATGGCTTACCCAATGATTATATCCAGTTTAAAACTCAACAAAACATTGGATCAGAGTAAAGACAATAATTGTATGTATTTGGCAACAATTCAGTTTAGGACTCTTGTTTGATATTCATCTGTTTATATAGATATAAATATCTTGTAGTTGCCCACGTATTCATATTCACCGCTCCACGTAACTGCCAATTATGGGATCGACAGCCCACAGGACCGAAGAATTAAAGAAAGACATAAATAGAAAAAAATAAAGGTTACGAAATGTCTACAAAACCGATCGGTCCGCGAGACTGACATCCTAGGATATCAACAACCCACGAGAAAATGAAGTAATACTGAATGGGGGGGGGGGGATGTCTTTCTCGTTGGCATTCGGTCTAGTGAATCATAATTGAAAGTGGCTAGATTGCCCATCGGCCGAAAGAGCAAAGAAATGCATACTGAAAGATGAAATATTGAAGACATAAAAACATTCATGAAAAGAGTGGCAAGAGAAAAGCGAGGAAAATAAACAGAGAGAGCAAATAGAAGATGAGAAAATGAAAAACTTAGATATTAAAAAAAGGAAAGACATAGAAAAGAAACAAATGTACATGATAAAGAACAGAACGGACA